CTCGACGAGTCGGTGAACTACACTCGACGAGTCGGGTCAACATGGACTGTTGACTTTGACTTTGACCTAGGGTTGACCAGTTGACCTCTGGGGGTATTTTGGTAATTTGGAAATTTATGGAAAAGGTTTTTATGGTAACTCACTAAGCCTTCGAGCTTACATTTATCGATTATTGTTTCAGGTACTTCTGATGATCGCGGGAAGGCAAATGCGTGATCGTAACGCTCCTCACATTTTATGATTTGATTCTGGGATACTCTGACAATATACTATTTTGAAAACAAGTTTGTAATAATCATGTGTTTTGAAATGTTTTAAAAAGTTTTAAATTAACTCGAATTTTATGGATGTTACAAAAAACTCATTAAATAAGCATATCAATAATTCGGTTATTAACCTATAAAATCTAATCTAATCTCGTTAAATCAACAAAATATTTGATAGTCAAAATTAAAGTCAATATTATTCATAATTTATCTCTTAGTATATCCCACGTAAAATGAATCAATTTGAGATAATGGTTTGAATTTTAAAACTCATTAAATAAGCAAGTCAATTAATTTGAAATTTTGAATCAATATAACTGATATCTTTCTTTTTTTCCAGATGAATAGCCGAAAATCTCCAAGATGATATCTTAGGTTCCTAATTTTTTTGGAAGATAATAATTTCCTTATGCAAAAACACCTTATATATATGATTACATTGAAGTTGTTATTCTTATGAGTTTGGATTGAGTCCTACGATTTACAGTGTTCTTCTTCAGCGTTCTTCTTCTCCAATTTTTTTCCAGGTTCTTTCTTTACTCTGTTCTCCTTCTTCTTCTCCAATTTCTTGCATTTACTCCATTCTTTTTAAATGTTATTACTGTATTCCTGTTGAGAGATCATGAAAAAAATTAATCAATCTATTTTAAGCATATTAGATTCATTCATTTAGTTACAGAAACAAAATTATATCCTTTATATCGATTTTTTTAGTGTGTTGACCTATGTTTGTTTATGAGTCTGTGTATAATCAACGTTATATCCTCTGTTTGCAACATTCCTGAAACTTGTGTAATCGATGTTATTAATATGTGAGGGTTATCAAATGTAATCATGAATCAAATACAATGGTATATATAAATGAATGGAACTGGTATGTTTCTATTCACCACATAAAAAAAATACTCCTCTACATTGAATACTATTTGCATGATGAATGAGGGCAGAACAACATCTATGTATACGTTCTCTTTACCTGAAATACCTCTACCACTGCCACTGTTGCCCCCTTTTACTGCTATAATTTTCTTCTTTAATATTTTATTTATAATTGTGAATATGATTGTATCAGGCCAATAAGGTTATTTTGGATGTTAAAGTCTGCTATCTATATGAACATAAAAAATAATTTATATTGCTATATATTGCTATCCATTTTTAATATATATATATATATATATATATATATATATATATATATATATATATATATATATATATATATATTACAACAAGTACTTTGATAAAACAAAGATAACGTGGATTATTTATGTTAAAAATTATTGTATTAAAAAACCAAATTCTCTAATATAAATATTAAATAGCTTTATTTAATAAATTTGGTTCAAAAACTCTAAAAATGAATCTAACTAACATTTTTTTATTAAATTTCCACCTAAGACAATGTCACCTATTAATGTGATATGTATTTAATTTTTGTTCCTCGCGTTTAACGTGGTCATAATCTAGTTCTAATACTAGATTGGTTCTTTTGTCTTATAGTATAAATAACGTGCACATCTAGATCGCATATGTTATTACCAAACATAAAAGTAAACTTAACAGATTAAAAAACAACAGAAAAAAACCCATATTTTCCACATGATCCAAGCTTTGCATTGTTTCAGAAGCATTAGATTTTGGAGTTTTTTTTACCAAAAGATTGTAATTTGAGAAAGTATTTACCAACTAATGGCATTTTAAATTTTATTTACCAGATAATTATAGTTTTGTTAAAATTTAAAAAGAAAACCAAATTTGATTCACCTCACACGTTCTTCTTCCTCAGGTGAATTCAATGTTCAACTCTGGAATCTAAGTTAGTCATCTTTGTTCTCTAAAGTTAGTCTGAATGATATTTTTTTCTACGTTTTAAATATTCAATAGAGCTTTGTGATCTACTAAACATAATAATTATATATTTGGTCTCTATATTGCATAATTGCATATATATGGTCCATGTATTACATAATTACAGAAATACTCCCTTGTGTTGTTTTATTTATATTTATGAGAAAAGTACTAACCCTCTTTTTTATTGTTTCAAATGTATTAGGCACATAAAGATGTGAATGGATTTTTGCAACCATATTATGTGAAAGAACGTAGAAGTGGAGTAGGCTATGTACTTTCTATTATTGTACTTGATAGTTTTTATGTTGAGAATACATTTAATGTTTTTTATTTTTAACATGGGATGTATAAAACTACAATACGCTATTAGTTTTGTTTTAGTTCTAGGAACTAATGTTACAAATATTTGTATAAACGTTAATGTTACTTTGCAACATTTTTTTGTAGTTAAAAATTAGTTTCTACTTGTTATAAAGTGTCGTATTAAGCATTGGCAAATGTTGTGTTCATACATCGAAGTGTTGCACATGCTTTGAAAAAGTGTTGTCGTAGGCTATTAGAAACAAAGGAAATGTTGCACTTTGTTTAAAAAAAATGTTGCTCTTGATTTAAAAGGTGTTGCACTTATTAAAAAAATGCAACACTTTAAAAAAGATGTTGAATATCCTAAAAAAGTTGTTGCATTAGGCCTAAGGCGACATTATCTAAGGCGGCACATGATAAAGTGTTGTGTTAGGCATAATGCCCACTTTTAAGGCCTATTGTAGCACTTTATGGGTGTTGCATTAGGCTCTTGTAGTGATTGTAACATTAAAAAGGTAATATTTTGCATTCAATAATCAACTAAGTATACTATGTTAAAAGTTGAAATGTTTGAATTACAGTTAGGATAATAAACGAGTAAAATGTAATAGAAAAGTCAATTTAATGTGGCTAGACATGAAAATATGAAAAAATGACATTTTTTAGAAGATATTAAAATTTGTAATTCGATTAATGCAAGATGAAGAATGATAATTTCTAATAAGTGTTTCAAAAATATGTAATGTTTTTTTTTTCTTAGTACACTTTAAAATACAATGTTTTATTTTATGATGGTCTATTTTATTTTTGTCAACTCTTTAAATTTATGGGCTATAAACTTTTATTTCCTATGTTTTTTTTTATAATTTTATGTATTACTTTTCAATCATTCATATAAGTAGATCAAATTCATTAATTATTTCTTATATTTTGATGGATTGATATTCGGATAAACAAAATGAGAAATACATACATTAATATTAATTTACTTCTAAAACGATGTTAATGATCTTATGTTTATAATTATGAGTCTCACTCACTATATAATTCTTACAATTATCAAAGTATTACGAAAGTGTGTTTAATATATTTTTTAATATTTTCATTTTATTGTTTATAGATATAATATTCCATTTTTAAACACGTAACTTACGTGTTTGACCGGTTGAACCGGAAACCGGTCACCATACCGGTTCAACTAAAAAACCGGTTTTTAAAACATTGCACGTATGGCAACTTCCCTTCCCCTATCAGTTTCTAGGTCTTTCCCTTGCCATGAGTATCTTGGAGGTCGATGGATCCCTACAGCAGCTCCACATGAGCAATCAGGTGATCTTGTACGATTCACAATTCATCTCAAACTTTCTTCAATTTAGTAAAACATGATGAAAAAACTTATGATCCTTGTGATAGAGAATATGATTGTTGTTAAACTTGATAAATGGGGGCATCGATTGCCATACATTTGATTTGATCATCCCATATCTCATTTGCAATTCATAGCAAAAGAGCACTATCAACAATGTCCCTGCTTAATGAATTCAAAATCCAACTGATAACCATGAAATCGACTCTGCTTAATGAATTCAAAACCCAACATGTTTAAGTAAATGATTTGGAATTGGCATAGGCTTTCTACGGGAAATTTCAACCATAAACCAACACAATTGATTAAACGAGTTAACCGAGTAAGCTCATTTAATTAAACAGGTAAAAGCAACAACCCACCCTGTTAATTATCGGATTGGGTCGTTAAATGTTTAGCCTTGTGTATAGCTAAACATTATCTAATTTAGTTTTCTTCTATTAATACTTGGGGAGTTTAAATGTATTTTTAGAAGTTGGGATATTGTGCTGTTACTACTAGTTTATTTTCAAAGAATATAATTATTTTCAAAGGGGGTATGCATTGCATGGGTGTTTTGGATTTAGATATAGAACGGCCTCTGGTGTGGTCCACCCTTATATGAGTTTATGCTTCTTTTTCTAGCGTGAAAAGGTGAAATTCGTTAAGGTTGTTTTATGCGTGGTTCATACATAATATCAATAGTTTTTATACAGGGGGTTAACTCTTCTGTTTTCTTACTTGTAGGGTCCAAGATGTCGAGGGTGGATAGTTGGAAAATCATCATCAAGAGGTTTAAGAAAAAATTGTGTGGCGAGTTAGTAAGGTAGATTTGGAAATGATGAGCTCTCAGCCTTGATGTAGTGTAGTGTTCATATTGCTGAGGATATAGATATGGATCTTGATCCTAATGGCACATCCACGGTTGGTTGTAGTCGGTATCATATTGATGATATTCAAATAAACATGGATGATAATGGCAGTCGTTGGAATAAAAATCAACATTTTTTTTTTTTTGATATGGAGAGTTTTGATGAACAGAATCCCAACAAGAGAGAACTCGGTTGCTAGAAGCATTGTCCAAGTCTTTGAAAATATTTTTAGTCGTAAAAGAGGGGAAAGGAATTATATTCTTATTTGCCCTTTAAGTAGTACCTGGGGACAACATAAGAGATTTTCGAACAAGGATTTGAATGCTCTAGATTCAGACAAATGCAAGAAATAGCAACACACTCTGAAATATTGAACAACATTTAAAAAGAGAACACAACAGTTTCAAACAAACTAGTATCGAAAAACCACAAGGAGTTGAAACAATTCTAGACTTCACAAAGATAGAACAAGAATAACATGAACTTGCCATTTTAAAATTTCACTTCATGCCCATTTTTTCTTCTCCACATTTCCGCAGTTTCGATCACCCTTTTTACCCTTTCTGGATCCAGCTGAAAACCAAAAAAAAAGAAAAATACATAGTTTTAATTTCTCCAATTATTTCCATGTCAAGATTAAAAAAAAATACAAATTGCAAATTCATGGTGTTATTTAGGAATAATTATGATCCAAATCATTTCACCATAATTAAAAAAAAAAAAAAAAAATTTAAATGCAATGTGTCAAGATATATACCATAGGGTTGTCTCCATTTTGGACAAAAGCCTCAGCTACATGGCAAATAATGAAATTTCTCATGGCGTACTCAAGAGTGTATCCGCTCAGCCTGTCAAAAAACAAAATAGCATAACAAGTAATTAGTAATCACATAATCTATAAATGACACATCAAAATCCATGCAAACCAAGTATTATGACTCACTTGCATAATGTACGTATTCTTGGAAAGGGTAACACGGCATCATCTTGATCAACATTCAAGGGGTGCGGATTTGTTTGTGTACCCTGAGATTTATTATGTAGAAAACATGAGAGGCATGAAGCCCCAACCAAAAACATAATATATATATATATACACACACATACACACGCATCACCTGAGAAGTCTCTAGTTTGAGTCCCTCCATCTCCAGCTCTAAAGGGTCTACTTTGAGTCTCTCAAGCATTAGCTTTTCATGACAGTAAAAGGTCCAATAATCCATAATACGATTACCACATTTCATATACACATCATGATACTTCAGCTCTGTCCCATAATCAAGCTCTATTAAAAAAAGGTAAATCAGCCATTTTGAGAAACAAAAACCAAAAATGAGTATTTATCTATTTCAATAAAATAACCAAAAAAAACAGATAACACGGTGACAACTTCTAACTCTCGCTTATCTTCTCCTGAAAGTAGGCCAAAGAAGTTGACAACTATAGAAGACTTATATGCAAATACACAACCATTGAATTTTGATTTTCATGGCAAGAGTAAGCAGCACATCAGGATTAAATATCATTTTATTCTGAGAATTGGTCACTAAATTAAAAGGGAAGTTGAAGTTGGATTCTGGAACAACTTGCGGATACATATACTAAAGTATCAGCCATTATTTTAGATCCAGATCCATGTTTCCTCCAGTAAGCAACAAGGTAGCTTGTCACCCTGAAAAAACAAAACAAAATCACATATAATATAACAAGTAATTGATATGCTTATAGTGACTAAAATTTAAATCACTCACAACACAATCTCCTCTCTGGTAAGTTCATTGGTGTCCATTACATCCCAGAAATCGCTGGCGTCCATCATATCCATGAAACTGCACCAAAAAGAAAGAACAATAACAATCTACTCACTATGTAACAATTTCACATATAGAAACACATTATTAAGCTCGGTTTTTGGTCGATTGCAGGGTACGGGAGCCTGTTCTATTTATTTCAATAACCCAAACGCTAGTTCATCCCATAATCCCACCCGGAAAACCATCCCTAAAACGAAACAAGAATTTATACGCAGCAAGGTTAATCGACTCTTACCGGAAACGAAGATTGCACGAGATCACGATCTTAGTTCACCCGAATTGCCGGTTATGTGCTCCTTTAATCGACTCTTACCTGCTTGCCGAATACACGATAATGAAAAGTTGCCATCTATTTAAACCAAAAGTTTAATGACGAATACATTTTTTACCATAATTAAAAAACAAATTTCCTAATTTATCCGATCCTTTATTTTTAGAATTATCCGATTAAATATCCACATCCCCCCCTCAAAACCCGATCCGGGTGTAGCTTAATTACCCCAAGTTTCCCGTTTACTTTGTTTTATTTCGACAAAATCACACAAATCTTTGTGGTTTGCTTTATTTTGTTGTGAAATCTGCAAAAAAGTAATAGATAGGTTCGATGGTGTTTGTTTAACTCAGCGTACGTATTGTCTTGAATTGCTTCATGAATTCAGTAAACTGGGATGCAAACCAGTTAAAACTCCACTTGATATGAATTGTGTTATTAGTGAAGTTGGAATAGATGAAAATGATGATTTGTTAGATAATATTACTGAATATCATAAACTTATTGGTAAACTGATTTATTTAACTATAACTAGACCTGATATCTCGTTTACTGTCCAAGCTCGTAGTCAATTTATGGATTCACCAAGAAAGTCTCATTTGAATGTTGCATTTCGTGTTCTTAGATATTTGAAACAAATACCCAGGAAAAGGTATCAATATTGTTAAAAGTGAGAATTTATCTTTGAAACAAAACTATATGGGTTGCGGCTCGTTTTCTTTATTCTTGGTTGACACACAGATCTTACAATGGGTATGGTTACAGGTTTGGTTCGGGTTTACATCAGACTTGAACCGGAAATAAACCTGATCTATAGATCGTGGATTGAAGGCTTATTTGTTCAGATCTTACTTTTCCTTCTGAAGATTTTTCTCTCATTCTCTCTGGTCTCCTTCATTTGCTTTGGGGTTTCATCTGTAATCTTTATTCAGTTGTTCCTAGAGTTTGTATAGGAGTTTTAATCTTGTGTTTTCGTTTCTTGTATGAGCATGAGTGTTTGTGCAGGTGAGGTTTTAGTTATAAGTACTTGAAAACCAACTACATTTTCAAGTGTTAATCATAAGTCCCCTAACCGCAATCTTTATATAGTAAAACGACGTATTTTCATGAGGTTTAGTACCTAAGCTTGGGCGGGGCTGTAATGTATATTCACTTTTCCCTATATATATATATATATATATATATATATATATATATATATATATATATATATATATATATATATATATATATATATATATATATATATATATACACTTAAAAGACAACAAACTTATGAATAGTGTCTGGTATTGAGCCACCTCAATACCAGGTGCTTTTGGAGCCGGTGTGTTTTTTCACCATCTGCTTCTTGGCTTTGTCTATGTGTTCTTCTCCGGATTGTTCCTTTTCACTGTCTACTCCTTTCTTTTGTCACCGGTTCCATCAGGAGGTCTCAAACATTCATCGACCCTTTGCAACACAACTCCAACTTCCTAAAACCTCCAACGACTTATAAATGTTCTCGGTTTGGGTTTAAAGCTGCACCAACTTCGTCCTCACCGCCTTTGAATGTCTTCTCCACCAACCAAAAGGTGCATATTTTTCTCTCTTGAGCATTATACTTTAAATGAGGTTACAATGCTTCACAGGTGACACTAATAGACTCTTAAGTACTTAACTTCTAAAATAACTCTTAACATGAGTTATTCTAATATAGCAATGTATAACTCAAAGTATGCAATGCAACTAATTAAGTGCCCAAAACCCCAAGTCATCTCACGCCCTATCGGGTTGAACCGATCCATTCAAACGAGCACCCATAATAATAACCCATTATGCTTTACCAACTTATATAATACATAAGGTATAAGTTGATCTATAAAATGCAAGATAATCAAGCATATCTTAGCCTAAGGCGACATTACTTAAGGCAGCACATGATAAAGTTGTGCGTTAGGCATAATGCAACACTTTTAAGGCCTATTGTAGCACTTTATGGGTGTTGCATTAGGCTCGTTTGTTGTAGTGATTGTAACATTAAAAAGGTAATATTTTGCATTCAATAATCAACTAAGCATACTATGTTGAAAGTTGAAATGTTTGAATCACAATTAGAATAATAAACGAATAAAATGTACTAGAAAAGTCAATTTAATGTGGCTAGACATGAAAATATGAAAAAATGACATTTTTTAGAAGATATAAAAATTTGTAATTCAAAATTGGTAGGTTAGATTAATGCAATATGAAGAATGATAATTTCTAATAAGTGTTTCAAGAATATGTGTTTTTTTTTTCTTACTACACTTTAAAATACAATGCTTTATTTTATGATGGTCTATTTTATTATTGTTGACTCTTTAAATTTATGGGCTATAAACTTTTATTCCCTATTTTTTTTCTAATTTTATGTATTACTTTTCAATCATTCATATAAGTCGATCAAATTCATTAATTATTTCTTATATTTTGATGGTTGATATTCGGATAAACAAAATGAGCAAATGCATGCATAAATATTAATTTACTTCTACAACAATGTTAATGATCTAATGTTTATAATTCAAAGATTGTCTCTTAATTAGATGCATAGTAGTTGTTATGTTTCGTGAGTATGAGTCTCACTCATTATATAATTATTATTATTACTAACATCGGGTCACAAATAACCGCTCTTTCATTTTCATCTATTGGATCTCTTCAACTTTTAATCATAGCCACATAAACTCCTATTTACAGTTATTTGATCGATGCTCACAGAAGTCAATCTTCTTCTCCGCGTCATGTTTCAGTTATGGCCTTAAGTTACACGTTCGCTTCCATTTTCTGGGGAAGGAGTATAAGAAGTCCTTTCCACCCCTTATCCTTTTTCTTTCCCTTCATCTTATCCAACTCTTAATTTGATTTGATTCATTATTGCAGGTTTCGAAGTAATTTGAAAAAAATTAATTCCTTCAGTTGGTTCAAAGATGGAGCATAAATACACCAATTGCTTCAATAGTTTCAATTGCTTGTAACGTTTCATCACCCATGGAGCACAAATCGGCCGAAAATCTACAACTACACATCCAAAGAACCCTAAATGTTGCCTCTCTCAAACTGTGGAACTCAAGAATTATATGTGTGGAGGATGTGAACGAAAATGGCGCCCTCTTCTTCTACCCCAAATCCTACAACATCAAATCTCAAGTAAAGTTTTGTTTATTTATTTGATTCTACGTTATGTATTTTCTATGTTAAGCCTGAGAATCATATTGTCAACGTGGGAAATTGAGAAATTTGGAAATTGTGTCCTAATGTGTCGAACCATAATTATGTAAATAAATCAAAGTTATTTGTGTGGTGTAGGTTAATTGCTTGATATTAATTTACTTCTACAACAATGTTAATGATCTAATGTTTATAATTCAAAGATTGTCTCTTAATTAGATGCATATTAGTTGTTATGTTTCGTGAGTATGAGTCTCACTCATTATATAATTATTATTATTACTAACATCAGGTCACAAATAACCGCTCTTTCATTTTCATCCCTTGGATCTCTTCAACTTTTAATCATAGCCATATAAACTCCTATTTACAGTTTCTTTTACAGTTATTTGGTCGATGCTCACAGAAGTCAGTCTTCTTCTCCGCGTCATGTTTCAATTATGGCCTTAAGTTACACGTTCGCTTCCATTTTCTGGGGAAGGAGTATAAGAAGCCCTTTCCACCCCTTATCCTTTTCTTTCCCTTCATCTTATCCAACTCTTAATTTGATTTGATTCATTATTGCAGGTTTCGAAGTAATTTGAAAAAATTTAATTCCTTCGGTTGGTTCAAAGATGGAGCATAAATACACCAATTGCTTCAATAGTTTCAATTGCTTGTAACATTTCATCACCCATAGAGCACAAATCGGCTGAAAATCTACAACTACACATCCAAAGAACCCTAAATGTTTCCTCTCTCAAACTCTGGAACTCAAGAATTATATGTGTGGAGGATGTGAACGAAAATGGCGTCCTCTTCTTCTACCCCCAAATCCTACAACATCAAATCTCAAGCAAAGTTTTGTTTATTTATTTGATTCTACGTTATGTATTTTCTATGTTAAGCCTGAGAATCATATTGTCAACGTGGGAAATTGAGAAATTTGGAAATTGTGTCCTAATGTGTCGAACCATAATTATGTAAATAAATTAAAGTTATTTATGTGGTTTAGGTTAATTGCTTGATTCTTCTTTCAGGTAGCGAATATCGTGGTTATGTGAGACAATTTAAGAACTCGTTTTGTGACAAATTGATTGGTACTACTCAATTTACGAGTACTGATGTACCAAACATAAAAAAAGCTATGATCACTTTGTTGGTAAATTTACTTCTCCATATGGTTATAACATATATGAAAACTGAGAATTTTAGATGTTAGGGTGCAAAGTCACGCTTGGATGTGGCTTACCCTTATTGATGTGTAAATGAGTTGTCTTTCCTATAAATGGGAAGTGAGTGACACTCATATTTAGAATGATCATTTTGGAGTGTTAGACTAGAGAGAGAGAAATTTGTACAAACTCATTTGTATATCCTTTCTAGATCTAATGTGAGCTTACACAAATTTATTTACTCCTTGTGTTCTTGAGTTTACATGATGATTCACTAGATCTTTTCTAATTCCGCACATGTCATCATAATCAACACCACTATAATTGGTATCAGAGTGGGTATTCTTGATTGGATCAAGAATTGATCCTTGATGGCTTTCTAGATTTGGTGATTCTTCATTTTGAGTTTTGATCTTCGTGATATCGAGAGTTTGGATTCTAGAAATCGAATTCATCTTTGATTCTATTCATAATTCGATTTTCTTCACTAAAATTCAAGTGATTTTTACTTTCTCTCTCTAGAAAACCCATTCAAAATCACTTTCTCTCTCTAGAAATATTCAAGTTTTGTGATCATGGTGGATTTGTCGTATGATTCTTGGATTGTGATCGTTGAAGATATCAAATACAAAGTCAATGAAGATCAATTTTATGGATTGGTGTTAAGCAAATTGATTTCATGGGGTAATATGGTTTCTTATGGAGATTTGAAGGATGATAATGGAAGCTTGATTTTTCAACCACTTTGTAAGATTGTATGGTTGAATAAAATTGT